AAAAAAAAAGTCAGCTATTTTGGCACGCCACTTTGAGTTTTCGCTCCAAGCTCAACAAGCATCGTCAATAAAGCCTCGCACATTTCGCATGCATTGGGCTCGGTGGGGTCCTTCTTCCAGGACGCGTACACCATCCACGAATGATCGAGTTTCATGTCGGGCCTTACGACTACCGAACCCGGAACCTCTGCATCTCGACACGTCACAAGCCCGTCACTTTTCTCCCCATAACGGAGTAGCAGGTGGAGCGCCGACAGGGCCATGGCCGCCGAGACGGGCACTATCACTGGCACCTCCGCGCCACCGTCCCTTGTAACCCATGGAACCTCTGCATGCGCAATGTGGGACATCGTTGAGATCACACCTGGTGCCACCCGAGCTTCCGAGTGGAATGAGATGAGAGGAATGTTGTTGGGAAGTTTGTGGTTGCGGATGAATTCCTTGCGCTTCTCATAGGTCAGGTCCTCCAGCGCTCGTATATCACCCTTACAAAACATAAGAACAAACAATTGACGACTAAGTGGGAAACACAAAAGAAACATTTGATGCAGACACTGGGACTGCTATAACTTAAAGGCAGATATTGGATATCAGAGATGAAGAGGATAACTCGTTAGTGTCATTTCAATGTGAAATAAGATGCGCACCAGTGATGATAGCGAGGAAAGATAGTAAAAGACATACGATAATGTAAAATGGGACTGCTATAACTAAAAATCTTGAGCATGGCTAAGAAGACAGATTTGTTGCAGTAACAAACTTAATCTGGAGTAATATTAGTCTCAATTTACTAAATCAGTAAGTTTTGAGACTCCATCAAAGAAGACTAAAGCTTAACCGTAGTAAATTTATAGTGCAATCGATACGCGTCATTAAAAAAGAACCAACATTAATCAAGAACCACCAAATTTGACTCCCATTTATAAAAGGTAGTAACTTTACAACTTCACACAATTATACAGTGAAACCTAAAATTTAGCATTGACTGAAAAAATGACAATTGCATAGTGAAAAAAAATGACAATTGCTTAGTATATGGACTAAATACTTTTGATAGCAAACACTTTCGATAGCAAACCATATCAAATCTACATATTTAACAAATAAATAAAACAATTGAGTTCAACAAATTTGTAAATTGTACTTATTATTTTTATGTAATCTGCTGCAACTTTAACACCATCATAATTTTTACACAAGTCATTCAGGTAAATATTATGAATATATAACGTAGAATCCAATAAGTACGTAAATAAAATCACTTAACCAGAAACTGAATGCAAAAAAAAAAAA